CTAACGGCGGTAAGAAGTACCTTTTTACCTTGATAGATGACTACAACAGGAAACTATGGACTCATTTCCTTGTAGCAAAATCTGAGGCCTTCGAGGTGTTTCAGAAATTCAAGGTGTTTATCGAGAAGGAGTCCGGAACAGAGATAGCTTGCTTAAGAACTGATAGGGGAGGCGAATTTCTGTCTACAGAATTCAAAGAGTTTTGTGACAAGGCTGGCATCAAAAGGCAATTGACGGCGGCTTTCACTCCACAACAGAACGGGGTAGCTGAACGGAGAAACCGAACCATTATGAATATGGTTAGGTGTATGTTGAAGGAAAACCAAGTGCCAAGCAAAATGTGGCCGGAAGCTGTAGCTTGGGCCACTCACATTTTGAACAGATGTCCGACTTCGATCAATCCAGAAAAAACTCCTCAAGAACTTTGGAGTGGTTTACCACCATCAATGGATCATCTCAAAGTTTTTGGAAGCCTATGTTATGCTCATGTGGCCGACCAACAACGCAAGAAATTGGATGATAAAAGTGTTAAGTGTATTTTCCTAGGCGTGTCACAAGAATCTAAAGCATACAGATTGTATAATCTTCAAACTAAGAAAATTATGGTGAGTAGGGATGTTGTTTTTGATGAGTCCAAAGGATGGCAAGACATCAATGAGAGTTTAGCTGAGTCTACTCAGCTCAGATGGGAAGGCAGTGAAGATGAATTCTGGGAATCTGAGGATGAAGCAGAATCTGTCCAAAATGACGACCAGGACACAATAATAGCAGCAACGGGCCAGAACTCTGTAGCTGCAGCAGTTGACGGCAATGAACTGACCTCATCTGAGAGCACGACGCAGATTGAAATAGAAGAGGAAGAGGAGGATGCTGTTGAAAGCCTCCCACAGGCTGAATTAAGGCCAAGAATTAGAAGTAGGCCGGTATGGCATGATGATTATGTAATGGGCAACTTCTGTGAGCAGCTTGCACTATCCGTAGATGGGGCTGATCCAAGCAGTTATGAGGAAGCTAAACAAGAGGAGAAGTGGAGAAAAGCCATGGCGGCTGAAATGGAAGCAATCAACAGAAATGATACATGGGAGTTGGTTTGCTTACCATCACAAGCTAGTCCAATTGGAGTGAAGTGGGTTTATAAAACCAAACTCAATGAGCATGGCAAAGTGGAGAAGTATAAAGCTCGACTTGTGGTGAAGGGTTATGCTCAAAAACACGGTATAGATTATAATGAAGTTTTCGCGCCGGTAGCCAAGTGGGATACGATCAGATCACTATTGGCTCTTGCTGGACACCATGGATGGGAAATTCATCAGCTTGACGTGAAAAGCGCCTTCCTTCATGGGGAGCTCTCCGAGGAAGTATTTGTTGTGCAACCTCCTGGTTTCATGGTTAAAGGAGAGGAACATAAAGTGTATAGGCTCAAGAAAGCTCTATATGGCTTGAAGCAAGCGCCGAGAGCTTGGTTTAGCAAAATAGAAAACTATTTCTTGAGTGAAGGCTTCACCAAGTGCCCATATGAACATACTTTGTTCATCTATGCTCATGAATCTGATGTACTCCTTGTGAGTCTGTATGTGGACGATATCATGCTCACAAGTAGCAGTGAGAAACTTGTGAAGGAATTTAAGGCATCAATGCAGTCTAAGTTTGAAATGACCGACTTAGGCCAAATGATGTATTTTTTGGGTGTAGAAGTCAACCAAAGTGATCAAGGGGTTTTCATCTGTCAAAGGAAGTACACGAATGAACTTCTCGACAAGTTTGGAATGTTGGACAGTAATCCGGTGAGAAATCCTATTGTGCCAGGGACAAAACTAAGTATTGAGGGAGATGGAGTGCTTGTGGATGAAACACAATACAAACAACTGGTAGGAAGTTTATTATTCCTCACTGTGACCAGACCGGACATCATGTTTGTGGTGTGTCTTCTAAGCAGGTATATGACGAAACCTACGAAGTTACACATGATGGCTGCAAAACGTGTGCTAAGATATTTAAAGGGAACTGCAGAGTTCGGTATAAAGTACCACAGAAAGGGACAGGGGAAGCGCCTAATAGGATACACTGACAGTGACTTTGCCGGGGATACGGATGATAGGAAGAGTACCGGCGGCTATGTGTTCTTCTTGGCGGGAGGAGCAATCTCATGGGCGTCCAAGAAGCAACCGATCGTGACTCTATCAACAACCGAAGCTGAATTTGTTGCAGCTGCTTCATGTGCAGCACACTGTATATGGCTGAAACGAATTCTTGAGCAGATGGGATGGACTGAAAGTGTTGTAGGAGCAACCACTGTGTTCTGTGACAACAACTCTACCATTAAACTGTCAAAAAATCCCGTGCTACATGGACGGAGCAAGCATATCGATGTTCGTTTCCATTTTCTTAGGGATTTGGTCAGAGATGGAGTTGTAGAGCTCGAGTACTGTGGTACCAAGGTGCAGATAGCGGACATTATGACCAAGGCCGTGGGGCTTGAAGTGTTTGAACGACTAAGAGCACATCTTGGAGTCATGAAGAATGAGAAGACCTTGGAGGCTTCTGTTGTTTAAATTCAACTTAAATATGTTGAGTTTAGGGGAGAATTTGTTAGGTTTATATTTATTTATTTATAATTTATGTTGAGTCAGTCCTATTTTTAAGTCTTTGTTTTACTGTCAGTTAGTGCATTTGCCAAGTCAAGGTTGTTAGCATGTTAGTAGCAGTGAGGACCAAGTATTTAGGAGGCAGTTATTTTGTAACTGGTGTAGTATATATTGCTACATCTGAATTAATAATAAACACAGTTTTTGAGCTTGTCATTTCGTTTGTTAATTTTGACAGATGCGACATAGATATTATTGGCACAGCCACGTATTCTGCTCCTTGATCCTTGCCTCAGCTCATGAATTAGGGATAATATCCTTTTCATTTCTTTTTCCTTCCATTTTCTCCATTACTATAATTTTGTGTGTAAATAACACACATTTTTAAGACATGTGAAACATAATTAATATTTAGTTGATTTTATATACATAAAAACTATAATAATGGAAAATATGGTGGGAAAAAGAAATGAAGAGGATATTATCCCCATGAATTATAGTGGAATCTGTTACAATTTGAAAATATTGTATAATTATTACTACTATCTAATTAAACTGTCATTATGGGTGTTAATTGTTTGCCTCATTCTTAGCTGATTTGTTACCTTATTCTTGACAACAAATTGATTACATTAGGTTTTACATTTTATTTATTCCAGAGTTGTACACTTCAAAGAACAATAACAAAACATACACATTCTGTACTTTCTATATGGTATCAGCATAGCCATTGCTCCACAGCATTTTTTCGATCCTTATAAATGGCAACACCAAATAACAACTCTAACTCCAATGACCTCAAAGTACTTATGGAATTCAACACAAATTCTCAGCTTTCAATTAAGTTAAATGACACCAACTATCTTGCCTGGTGTCCTTGAAGGCTTTGTTACAAGAACAAAGAAGTGTCTTTCTCCCTACTATTGTTAGGGGTGAAACTCCATCATCAAATCATGCTCATTACTTATGGATCAGACAAGATAAACCAATTTATCTTGCTCTTTTTGGCTGGTGTGATTCTGAAGCACGATTTGTCATGGCTGCTACAGACACGTCTTATGATGCCTGCTTACTCTTGCTCGTGTCTTCTCAAACCGATTGAAGTCCAGAATTATGTCACTCTGAGAACATCTCAGTTCAATCATTAGAGGAAATTTCTCTGTCTCAACTTATTTGCATTCAATTTGCAATATTGCTGATGAATTGGCTCTCACTCTGGTCTCGATCCATTACTTACTTTCACATTAGAGTGTCTTGCACCTTCCTGCTCCTCTTTACTTTCGGTGAACAACTTGCAGAAAAACAACGCGTGGCAGGTCACTGATTCCCTAGATAAGATCAATTAATAAAATTATAATTTGTAATTTGGATATTCAAAAAAACGATTCAAATTAAACCGCAAGAAATTGGATCGGATCGGATTGAATTTTTTTAATCAATCATCTAAAACCGAATCGAACCACAAGTAAATTTAACTTTAGATTGAATAATATTTTGCTTCAAAACCAATTAAAAACGAACCGCAAATACCTCTAATAAACACTCGATTCAGTTCCTCGCATTCAGAATAGAATAAGGATTATACCTAAGTACTAGTATGAAGAATTAATTTATATTTTTAGTCATGGTCAAGGGTTTAAAAACTTTTTTCGAGACACTTGTCTCAAATACCTCAAAGGGCCATTGTCTGAAAGTTCTCTTTGAACTAATCAAAATAAATTATTAATTTTATTTACAAATACAGTGAAATGTTTGTTTTGAGAGAAAAATAAGTAGAATGGATAATATTTAGTTAGTGTAAGAATAGTACTAATATTAGAAGAAGAAAATAAATCTACTTAAAAATATAAAAAGTTATTGATTTTATTGATATGGAGTACTATTAGTATTTAATTTTGTTAAGTATTAACAAGTGTGAGTATTTATACGTTAGAGAACCCATACACCTATCACCTTAAGGTTTTGAGTGAGTATGTGATGTGTTTCTCACAAAGATTACTCTAAAAAAAAGTCCTACTATATTCAATGCTCCCCAGTTGAAATTCCAACAAATTTGATTTTTTTTTAACGTATAATGACGAGTACTAGCTAGTACTTGAATTATTGCATTGGAATCACATATATAATATTTGAGGAATTACTACCATGCACTTAACGAGGAACCTTTCAATACCTCAAAACTTTGACTACCCGATACCCAACTGTAACTACAATTCCCCTGAAAATCGAAAACTTCTCTTGCAAGATACCAAACGACCTTCAAAAGCCATCCTTTCATTTCACTTATCCATTTAAGTTCTCTCCTCTCTATAAATATATGCATTTAACCTTAACTTCCCTTCATCATAAGCTCACTAACAGATTTTGTATTTTCTCTCTCTGCACAACCTCACAATCACTTTACTCTTCCTAACAATGGCACCCGGAAAGAAAAGTTCCTCCATAAAGGCTACCAAACGTAATGAATCATCGCATGCATTGCTTCATTTTGATGATGATCAACCTCAAGCTCTATCCATTGCACCCATTGTCTCCTATTATAATGAGAAAATACGTCCAGTTCTGGATGCCCTTGAAAATCTGAGGCGTCTAAATATTGGAAAAGAAGGAATACAGTTACCAACCATTGTGGTGGTTGGTGACCAATCTTCTGGAAAGTCAAGTGTCCTCGAGTCGCTTGCTGGTATCAGCTTGCCCCGTGGCCAAGGGATCTGCACTAGGGTTCCTTTAGTTATGCGTCTTCAGAATCATCCACTTCCACAGCCGGAGCTTATATTGGAGTACAATGGCAAGAATGTTTCAACCGATGAGGCTAGTGTCTCTCATGCAATTAATACTGCTACTGAAGAGCTAGCTGGAACCGCAAAAGGGATTTCTAACACACCATTGACTTTGATTGTGAAGAAGAATGGTGTTCCTGATCTTACCATGGTTGATCTTCCAGGTATAACTCGTGTCCCTGTGCATGGTCAACCTGATAACATTTATGACCAGATTAAGGATATTATTATGGAGTATATAACACCAGAAGAAAGCATTATATTGAATGTTCTTTCGGCAACTGTTGATTTTACAACTTGTGAGTCTATTAGGATGTCACAAACAGTTGATAAAACTGGTTTGAGGACACTTGCTGTTGTCACTAAGGCTGATAAGTCTCCTGAAGGTTTGTTAGAGAAGGTTACTGCAGATGACGTTAACATAGGTCTTGGTTATGTTTGTGTAAGGAATCGCATTGGTCATGAGTCTTATGAAGAGGCTAGAGATGAAGAACACAAGCTGTTTGAGACTCACTCACTTCTGTCCAAAATAGACAAGTCTATTGTTGGAATTCCCATTCTGGCTCAGAAGCTTGTTCATGTGCAAGCCATGATTATGTCAAAAACTTTGCCTGAAATCATTAAGAAAATTAATGAGAGGCTTGGTAATAGTTTAGAAGAGTTGGAAAATTTGCCTGCAAATTTGTCTTCAATGGCTGATGCCATGAATGCGTTTTTGCAAATTATTTCTCTGTCAAGAGATTCTCTGAGACGGGTTCTTCTGATAGGTGATTTTGATGAATTTCCTGAGGAAAAGGAAATGCATTGTGCGGCTAGGTTTTTCGAAATGCTAAATGTCTATGCAAATGAACTTGAAAACTGTTCAGAAAGTAATCCAACAAAGGATTTCCTAGTTGAAGAGATAAAGGTTCTCGAGGAAGCAAAGATTACTGGTCTTCCCAACTTTATGCCAAGAGCAGCATTTCTAACTTTACTTTCCAAAAAAGTAAAGGGTGTTTCTTATATACCAATCAATTTTGTTGACAGTGTGTGGAACTATTTGGAAACTGTTTTAATATCTGTTCTGAATCGCTATTCTTCAAACTATTATCAGCTTCAGGTATCTATTCGTAGAGCTGCAGAGCTTCTCATTGAGAAAAAGAAGAAAAGTTCGATTCAACATGTGCTGCAGGCTGTGCAGATGGAGAGGCTAACTGATTACACATGTAATCCAGAGTACTTGAAAGAGTATTACAAGCTTATGTCACTCCAAGAAGCTTTTTTGAAGGAGGTTTTTAATGTTAATCGACTAGGAAATACAGTGAAACTGGAAGGTGTTGGTGAGATTGATGTTGTTAAACTTATGAAATATTATCCAGACATGTTAACTCTGGCTCAGGCATATGATTTGAAGGCCAGATTGATAGCATATTGGAAAATTGTTCTGAGGAGGCTCATTGATGTTATAGCCTTGCATTTAATGTTAAGCATCTCTGAACTGGTTAACATTGATTTTCCGAAGGAGATATGCGATGAACTGTTATCCCCATCTGGTGGTGGTTTTGAAAGGTTGCTTGAAGAGCCGCCTTCTATATCTGGGAAGAGGGAAAGATTGAGTAGGAGTGTGAAGGTTCTTAGAGAAAGTAAGGATACCGTGGCCAACATTATGGACAGGATCGGTGTGTGTGCTGATAACTAGCAGTAACGTTGCTTGGTGTTCTTTAGGATTGGAATATTAAACTTTGTTATTGGTTTTGTTTGTTTGGATTTCATTTAGGTTTTGTATGTCATGTCTTTTTAAAATTTTATTGAATCTTCTTGGTGCTGATTTGTGATCAAAGTTTAATTATCTTAATGCATGCTTTTATTGTGGCAATTTTCCATTTTGTACTACTTTTTTAGACATATTTTATTATTTCTTTATTTTGAAACAGCAAAACAAACATTAACATTAAAATAGATCTACTTTAGGCCCAAGTTGTGCAATTTAAACCAGACCTGGACTTTAAACCAGAACTACATTTCCCAAGTTGTGTTTAAGGAACAGAGAGAATGTTTTTGCAGCAAGAACACATTTCGACACCAGCTCCCATCACTGCCAACCTTGCTCAACGCCATTACAACGGATACAATCAAGGACACCCTCACATTGACCACAACAATCATCACCATAACCATGATTCTCCAAGCCGCAATAACTATAATAGTCATGATCACACTTTTCCCAATACTAAGAAGCCAACATCCAACAATGTTGTCATATGCCAATATTGTGAAAAACCTAGCCACTATGCAAAACAATGCTACAAGATTCATGGCTACCCAAATAAGTCTCGCCATCCTACTGCGCATGTCACACAAACAATGGCCTCTCACTCGTCTCCACCTTCATGGCTCTTTGATTTTGACGCATCCCACCACATTATTAATGACATGAGAAATTTATCTATCAAAGAAGATTATCATGGAACTGACAATCTCCAAGTCGCAAATGGTAATCAACTTTCCATTACTCATATTGGTTCCACAATTATTTCTACTAATAGTTCTTCCTTAAAGTTGTCAAATATTCTCTCTGTTCCAAATGTTACTCAAAATTTGATATTTGTCTCTCTCAATTGTGCCAAACTTACAAAGTTTTTATTGAATTTTGCCCTTGGCATTTTGAGGTAAAGGACTTGCATACAAAGGAAAATCTTCTGCAAGGATTGAATGAAGACAATGTGTACAAGTTTCAACCAAATGCAGCAGCCCCACAAATTTCCTATGCAATCTCCAACCCCTCACTCAAACTGTAGCACCAGAGACTTGGTCACCCTATACCTCCTACTCTCCTCCACACCCTCAAGTCAAACAATATTTCTTACAAGCCAATGGTATCTCTCACTTATCCACCTCATCCCATACCCCTGAGCACAATGATCTCGAACGAAAGCACCATCACTTCACTAAAACTACTCGCTGCCTCCTAAACCACACCTCCCTACCTTCCATTTTTTGGTCATATGTTTTTCAAACAACATGATATCTAATTAATCGATTACCCACTCAATGAGCACACCACACCATGTACTCTTTAAAACATCTCCAGACTACAAAAAAACTAAAAACATTTGGGTGTCTCTTCTTTCCTTAGCTTATACGATACACAAATAATAAGTTAGAATCAAAATTTGAACCATGCCTATTCCTTGGGTATAGTCTCACAATAAATACATAAATTTACTTCAATTTAAAAAAAGAACAAAATCCATCATTCTAGACATGTCCAGTGTCTAGAAGACATTTTCCCATACTCACCAAACTCAAATAAACCATCACCTATATCTCACCTTGATTCAGACTCTAAACAACCTTTTATAAATATAGACTATGAAGTTCAACCTTTAACCTCTACCATACCAATCTCAAAATCCACCCCCACTAACCTTACTCAAATCTCTCGCTCACCCACCCCACCTCATCTAGATCACCAATAAATTTCTCAATTCAAAGTGATACATCGTTGCTGGCACTCTTGGCATTACATATTTCCGATAAGAATTTAGAGCAATTACAGTCAAATATTGAGCCAATACAAAGCAAAAGTGCCAAATAAGTGATTAGAATGCCCAAATGTGGAGATAATACAGACTTAGTAAAAAATTGGTGAAAGAAGACACAAAAGAAGGAAAAGCTACTGGATTTCTCCCGCTCCATCGTGGGCACGATGGCACTGTATCGCACTCCGTCATGGGCACAATAGAAGCCATCGCAGGCACAATACTTCTTATCGTGGGCATGATGGGCCTTTTGTTTAGGCTTTTCTTACACGTTCTAACGCATTCTGGCAAAATTCTAAAAGGAGATTTTTGTCATCTTTGTAAGAGTTCTGCGTTTTTTTATTTTAAAGTGACGATAAGGAGTCCCAAGAAGGCAATTTTGAGATCATTAAAAGCCATTGAAGCCCAAACTCTTAGTATTCTATTATATTACTATGAGTAGATAAATTTCTCTAGATATGAACTTGTTTTGAATCTATTATATTATAGGTTTAGTTTGATGTTTTATGAATAATTGAAGTTATATTTTCTATTTAATTATCTTTGTTCTTAGTGCTTATTATTTTTGGACGCGTTAGATAATATAAACTGAAACAAGTAGGGATTACTTACCATAACTAAGATAATTAATCTGTTTTTTCTAGTTGAATAAGGATACGAGACCACTAGTAGTGGCTTTTGAATTAACGCACCGTAATAACGCATAATTTCACTTTTGTTGGTGGAATAGGGGATAGGAAGTCACTAGCAGCATTAGTGACTTATACACTAAGGGATAGAATATGGTGGGTTTGTTAATTCGCCGTAAAAATATAACGAATTTACCATTCATCTAATGCACTAAACATTAATAGAGGATAAACAAGGGATTCACGGTAAAACCTAGTGGCTTTTCTCGTATTGTATTTAGAAAAAATTTACTTTTCACATTAAAACTCGACCCCTTCCTCAATAGTTACTTTTACTATTCGCACAATCGTAATTTTGTTAAATAGAAATCCTTGTGGAGTTGATATCTTTTAGTATTACTTCAACACTATCAGTACATTTGCCGAAAAGTTATCATGTTTTTCGCGCCGTTGTTGAGAATTGTTGATAATTTCGACAAGGCAACGCTTGTGCGACGTTCAGTTTTTTTTAATTTTATTTTTAGTTTTGAATTTAATTAGTTGTTTTTCGTTTATTTTATTTTCTTAGGTTTGGTGCAATACTACTAAGGATATTTTTAGTTATTGTAAGTTTCAGAAGAGATTTATCATGTCGGAGCAACAACAGCAGACCATGGGAGATTATTGCAAGAGGATTGATGTTGGAAAAATATTAACGGGTTTCCAACTAGCTATCCCGACTTATTTTCTATTAAAAGTTTTGTGCTTTCAGGTTTGCGGGATAATCAGTTTTATGGAGACACAAATAAAGATCTGCGGGGGCATTTTGTACAGTTCTATAAAACATCCTCAATGTGCATGCCGGAGGATGCGACCTAAGATAAAGTCAAATTAAGTTTGTTTAGTTTTTCATTTATTTGAATAGCTAAAGATTGATTATTATGTCTACCTAACAGTACTATTGTCACTTGGAAAGAGTTATTAGACAAATATTTGGAGAGGTTTTTCCCCATATTTACCGTCGAAAATGGCAAACAAGCGCTAGTCTTCCAAAGTTATTAAGTCTTTGGTTGCTTATAGGATCGACTAGATTGATCATGGGACATGTGTTGTTATTTAGTTTCTGGGTTTGTTAATCATGAATATTTCGACAATGTTCTTAAAGTAGTTAATGAAACGTTGGAACTTCTTTAAGGAAATGCAAGAAAGTAAACATTACAAAGTAAAGGTTTTAAGGTAAATGACAAGATCTTAAATATTGAAATTGTCTTTAAATTAAATTGCAGGAGATGTAAATTACAAGAAAATCTTAAATAATCTAGTAAAAGTGTAAAATGTGATGTTCATACTGTCGTACCTCAAAAAAAGCACGATCTTTCGCGAATGGTCGCGGAAAACAGAGTCGCTACCGAATTTTATTTATCCCATGATGGAATAGGAAAATATCGAGAAAACCTTTAGGAAAAGAACATGGTCATTACAACCAAGTTCTAGGTTCGGGAGTCGGTTACGCGAGGGGAAGGTATTAGTACCCCTCACGTCTGTTGTACTCAACGGGAACCTCTTGATTCGATTTGTGAGAAATGTTAGCCTAGTTTGTTTGTTTTCTTCCAAGGGAATAAAGCGTAAAGGTAAGATAAAAGTTTTAGATTGCTAAGGAGAAATGGGTGGTTTTAGATTAGAGTGATCGCCAAGGATTAGGGCCCTTGTGCCTACGTATCTTCACTTGTAAGAAATGGAAAATCAGAGCGTTCGTAGTTCGTGGGACTACGGGAGAAAGAAATAGGAGGTTGTGGAATTGTGCTCGCCAAGATCATCGTAATCTTGTGCATACGTATCTTACATTCAGAAGAGAATGAAGAATTAGAGCGTCCGTAGTTCGGACTACGGATGTTGGTTTGATTTAGAGAAAGATACTTAATCGTATTCGACAAAAAATATTGCTTTATCTAAACGGGTGAGGAGAGAACGCTTGCATCACTTTGAATGGATTTCCATATATCAACATTCATGGGAAACATGCCACTTATCTCAACTCAAATAGGTTACAGACGAAGCAATATTTTGCGTCATTCTCAAGACACCATATCTTACGTTTATGAAAAGATTTGACGATTCACAAGACGACGAGAAGTTATATTAATGTGTTGATGTATTTTTTTAGAGAAGGGAATATGTTTGAATAGGTTTTAGGGTTTCGATTGCACGGGGGCGAGAAATAAAGTTTAATGTATTTGACGCTTAGCTAGAGGTGACGGTACTTCAAGCTTAAGAAAGGCTTCTCGGTCCTAAGTAATCGGGAAAGTGAGTCAAATACTTGACTCCCTCTCTTTTTCAACCTCAATTGTGAAAGGATTGGATATGGTTCGAGTAAGCTAATCGGATGGCGATTACTCGAAGCTTAAGAAAGGCTCCTCGGGCCCAAGTAATCGGGAGAGTGGGTAAAAGGCTTAACTCTCTCTTATCCATCTTAATAAGAGGTTGCGTAGGAAAAGCTTTTTGAAAGATATAAGATAGTTAAAGTATTTAATCGGATGAGGATTACATGA